CGAGCGAGCCACGGTGAAGGGCGGGGGCAGCGCAGCCGCGCCGTGGAGGAGCCGGCCAGCCAAAGCACGTCACGGGGGCTGCCCAGGGACACAAGGGCTGGAGGAGCAGAGAGAGATGCCCCCCGGGGTCAAGGGCACCTTGCTCCAGCAGGCAGGGACGTGCGTGGGGGAGGGGGCACCTCTGGTAGCTCTGGGCACGGCGGGGTGGCAGTGCCAGGGCCTTGCACGGAACGTGCCAGAGGCTTAACCCAGGAAATGACAGATGCAAATGGGCACAGAGCCACTCTGAGCTCTCCCCCCCCCCACTTTTTGATTTTTGAAAAACCCTCAGGCCTCTTCCCTCCTCCCCACCAAATAGCAGGGCACTGAACAGGAACTGAAGGAACTGAAAAAAGGAACTGAACAGGGCAGCAAAACTTGATGGGGGGGGAAGGCTGGGTCTCCTTGCACCCCCCCCCTGGAATTTCTTCACACACACTCCAGGGGGGCATGCCCCCCAGTTTGGGAACCCATGATGGAAAAGACCACTGAGCTGAAAAGAACAGTGCAGTTCATGGTAAAATTCCATTATGCTTTGTATTGGGTGTGTCCAATTACTTCCAGTATAAATTAACTAGGCACTTGGGTGGATGTTTGCTTTTCATCACTTCATATAAATCATTATAATTACAATTGAATTCATACTTTCTCTGAGAGAGCAATGGTTTCACATGAAATTAAGGTGACAGAGTCTGCAAAATATTGAAAGTTCTGTAGTGACCCTATGGAATTATCTCCAATCCTATAGAACCCTTCCAATTTCCCACAAATTCCATTGCCAGGATCCAATGTTCTTAAGTAGCATCATTGAAAAATAAGCTTGGGAACATGCCAATTCTTTTATTTGCAGTGCCACTGTGAACACTCTCAACATATTACTTAAGAGCTGCATACTTTATATGGATTTGCAGTAATTAACTGACTGGTGGCAATTAACATTGCTGCTCATTAGTAGAGATTTTTAGCTAGTTCAGTGCTTCTGTTCTTGGAAAACAACTCACCAGCAAGCACTGGCTGAAAGTTCCAAAGCAATCCAGAAGATTTGGTCACACATCTGTTCTACTAGATGTTGAAAATATCCAGTTGGATAATCCACTGCAAGTCCATGCACAGCAAAACAAGTCCATGCATAAAGCAGGAAGAACAATATTCAGTAATGTTAAAAATGCTTGGCACTTACATTTTGCCTTTCTTCAAAAGATTTCTATGCATTTTACAAATGCAATCACCAAGTGTGATAGCTCCCTGGGTGTAGACATTATGCCACTTTGCAGACCGTTAAACTTAGGCCATGTTCTACACTGACAGATGTAAAGTGCTGGTAGTTACAATGCTGCTCATGGATCGAGGCAGGGAAATTGCTGTTGTGTGTCCACACTGTGCTCCTTGTTATAGCGGAGCATGTCCATATTAGCAGCTCTTGCAATGCCACAGACAGCAGTGCATTGTGATACCCAGTGCTTTTTTTGTAAAAGAAAAAGATGCCGGTATTCCAGGGGAAAAGTTGTTGAGCTCTGACTGGAGGTGCTGGTACTGCGTCAGGAGGTGTCACTACTGCATACCGTACAGTACCATCACAAAAAAAGCACCGGTGGTTTCTATCCCACTATGCAACTAGATGTAGGATGCTTTGAAAAGGGTTTGCAATGCCGCATGGGGCAGTCAGTATCAAATGATGCAACTTTCCCAATCCCGTTGCTCCATGCTCATCCTTTTTCAGTGGGGCCTTCCCCCCCCCCCCGGCCCCGGCCCGCCGAGCCGTCTGCTGCAGCAATGCCGGGGGACCCATGTTCCCTCCAATCTTCTCCATCCACGTGCGGAATACATTTTTGTTTGTGGCCCGCGGCGCATGCCGATGGGCACCCCCCAGCAGAAACACAAACCTAGCGGTGGGCGCTGTGCTCAGCAGCCGGGCAGCTTCTGAATCTCCCCTGAGCGGCCGCACAAGCGCCCGGCTGACAGGGAGCCCTGCTGGGGACCCCCCCCGGGGACCCCCCCCAGGGACCTCAGGGAAGGGGCTGAAAGTAGTGAGGTGACGGGCCACACGCAACACAGCCCCCGGCTGGATCCAGAGCCTGGGGGGAGGGGACGGGTGGATTTACCACAGCCCAGCTGCAGCCCTCTCGGGCTTTCCCATTGGGGCTCTTACAGCTCCCTGGCTCCAAGGGGGGCCTGGAGTAGCACAGGAGGCAAACGCCCCCTGCTTCAGGGCTGGTCTGGGGAGCACAGGGCAGGCAGGGAGACAGGGTGCAGGGGGCACTGGGCAAGCAGAGGCTTGGCAGGGGGGCACGGGGCAGGCAGGGGGACCGAGCAGGTGAGAGAGACAGGATGGAGGGGGCACGGGGCAGGCACAAAGCAGGCCGGGGGGCACAGGATG